GTTTAAGAACATTTGTTGTTCGACCTGTTAGTCAAATGCGTTTTGTTAAAATATACTTTTTTTTACTTTTTTGGTCTTTTGGAAAGTGTTGTTTGACTCCTCAAAATTCAAGAGTCTATCCTAAATTGAGAAGGTAAACAGAATAATATACTTTTTCACTTTTTTGGTCTTTTGGAAAATGTTGTTTGTGCTGTATTTAGACCCCTCTAACAAGAAATTCGTTTGTATGCACACGTATAAAAATTGCGGTTTTTATCCAACGCAATCATAGGTTTGAACGTTGTTTTAAATTTAGACTTGTTTATATTTTTTCGTTTGGGCTTGTATTATATTTGCCTTCGGGTTTATATGATCCGTTCATCCTATTTTGAGTCCTCAAAATTCAAGAGTCTATCCTAAATTGAGGTAAATTGTATGGCTTTCCAAATACCGTTTCGATTCCTAACATCACTGAAGAGACATTAATTGTCGAAATCCGGATAAGGTGTACAAAAACCTTTGCACCTTTTGTTTGCGGCATATCATCTTTTCCGCAAGTTTATTGTTTTCTGTTTAGTATTAAATTTATAATTAAGATCCATTTATTAAATCGGTGATCCGTTTATTTGGCAATCGCCAATGGCAGTCAGCAGGGTTTAAGAACATTTGTTGTTCGACCTGTTAGTCAAATGGGTTTTGTTAAAATATACTTTTTCACTTTTTTGGTCTTTTGGAAAATGTTGTTTGTGCTGTATTTAGACCCCTCTAACAAGAAATTTGTTTTGCATGCACACGTATGAGAACTGCGGTTTTTATCCAACGCAATCATAGGTTTGAACGTTGTTTTCAATTTAGACTTGTTTATATATATATATATATATATATATTATTTATTTATTTTGTTTTGTTTTTGTTTTTTTTTTTTTTGGGGGGGGGGGGGGCGCTCTTTTAGTAGAATATTTGGATTTATGTTGACTTTTTGTGATCTTTTACTCCTTTTCCTTTGTTTTCTTGATCCTATGTTTTTCCGTTACTGTAATGTATATCAATCATAAAATAATATTGACTGTAAAAATAAAGTAGCATGCAATTAAATTAAAAAGATTATAAGTCCCTGTACTCGGTTCTCAAGACCTTTTTAAAAAGGACCTATTGATTTCTTATATATAGTAATACTGCAAGGTTATGGTAAAATGCTTTCAGAACAGAAAGTTATCATGAAATTGAAAATGGTTAAATATTTGATCAACATAGTAATATGTTTTTGTGACTTATTAGGAATATATGATATTGTCCTTCGCTACATTACAGTTACAAACCTGAAATTTTTACGCCAAAAAATGTCCTATTTCTTATTCACATTTTCCTTGAAAAAAACCGGACCATTTGTTGAAAAATCCGAACGTTTTAAATGTTGCTCTCAAACATAACACGGACAATATAGAACACTATATTTTAAGTAAACAACTAGGAAATTCTGCGTCGTTTGTGTTCAAAACATGTATTTAATTCATAATAAGATAAACAGTCACGAATAATACTATTATACTCGCAAAATAGCAGTAAATCGATCTGATCTTATGTTAATTCACTCAAAAAAACACGATCTCCGCCGGACACTTTACCTACCGTGGTTTCTCTCTATCTATTACAAATTTCAATATAATAGACAAAACATGAATTAAAAAAAAAAAATAGCCAGAAAGGAAAATTACTCCTAAAAGCGGTAATCTTACAATTTTGACGATCATATGTTAAGATATTTTGTACATTCATCTCCTTCCCCCTGGGGTATTATATTTTACCTCTCGAACGTCCCTAAATTCCTATATCGCACGAAAATTGAAGTTGAACACGTGTCGTTGTGCATACAGTGTAATGGTCCTTGATAGGCAAACGTTGGGGCAAAACGCCATAGAAGTTCCTTGACGCTTTGATTAGATTATATAATTATGTCAAAATAAAGGATCCCTTAAACGAGTCTTTTAAAAGTATGATTCGTGAAGCGTACGTATCTTTCGTCAAATTGATAGAAAGCTCTATTATTCAATCATGACTGACTATAAATACACAGTCATGACCACACTTTTCATAAATTGTCTTTCAAAGTTATGTAATTCCACCGGGGGAGGGGGTCTCATCAACATGGGATTGTGGGTACAGTTGTGCAGCTGGGAATAAAAAAACACCCCCATTCATATATTAAATAATTGTGAAATCCCTACCTATTTATATATTTCACAGCGAAATCATAACCCATTCACATATTTATCAGCTCATCAGCAGATGTGGAAATTTTAATGACAAAGAGTTTGGGAAATTCATTGAAGATCGTTGCACAACAAACTGAAAAATTATGACCCATAGATATATCACAATTGGTCAATTACTACCTATTGATATATTTCCTCGGTAAAATTGCAACCCATTCATATATTTGACGTATCAAAAAAGGGACCCATTCAAGCGGCTCATATGTATATACCTTCATATAGGAAGAGACCCCCCCCCCCCCCCCCCCCGTGTGTAATTCACAAAAAGATCAGGGATATCACGGTAGGTATAGTGTCCGGCGGAGATCGTGTTTTTTCTAGTGAAACGGTGCACTTTTTCGAGTGTAGATCAGGTTTTTTCGAGTGAAATTACATGCGATCTGATCGATTTACTGCTATTTCTCGAGTATAATAAAATAGTTTTATTTGTGACTGTTCATCTTATTCTGCATGCTATACATGTTTTGAACACAAACGACGCAGAATTTTCTTGTAGTTCACTTACAATATCGTGATTTATATTGTCCATGTTTTTTTCGAGAGCAACATTTAAAACGTCCAGGTTTTTCAACAAATGGTTCGGTTTTTTTTTTTTAAATGTGAATAAGAAAGAAGACATTCTTTGGCTTAAAAACTTTTTCTAGTTTGTAACTGTAATTTAGCGAAGGACAATATCATATATTTTGAATAAGTTACAAAAACAGATTACTATGTTGATCAAATTTAACCATTTTCAATTTAATTATAGCTTTCTGTCCGAATTTTGTTTCATAACCTAGCAGTATTGATAGATGATTGTATACCCTTCATGATTTCTTATATATCTACGATATAAAGAAGAGAGCAATGGGTCCTTTTTAAACGATCTTAAGAACCGAGTACAGGGAATCATAATCTTTTCAATTTTTTTACAGTAAATATTATTTTATGATTGATATATATTACAGTGAATAAAAAACATAGGAGCAAGAAAACTAAGGGAAAGGAGTAAACAATCAGAAAAATTCGATATAAGCCCAAATATTCTACTAAAAGAGCAACCCTCCCCCCCCCCCCCTCGCCCCCAATAAAAATTAATAAATTACAATAACATTTGAATTGAATGGAATATTTAATACAAATTCAAAACAACACTTTACAATTTTATGCTTTATGACCAAAAGGACCTAAAACAGCCAAATTCAGCTGAGGTCAACTTTGCCTGATGGAGTTGATACCTGAATATTTTTAAATATAAAAAACGGACAATTCAAAATGATTCATTTTTACTTGTTTAACGTCCAGTGGCAAATGTGTCATGCTAGTTCAGGACGAGAACAAATTAACAATAAATCCAAAAAGTAGGTTCTGTAACAGAGGACGTTCGGGATAAAGGTCGTGAAATTAAGACTGCCACAGAAAATGAGAGTATATTGGATATGAACAGAAATTTTGCATTGCAACAAGCCACCTACGGACCCTTCAAAGAGCTGAAGCAAGGGTTCTTAACGTGCAATGAGCGTAACACTCTCTCTAAATGCCCCATTTTGACCGGACGTGGCTACGTACTTGAACATCCCACACAGCCAAACGAACTTCCCACTTTGGCAAGGGTCGGTCGGAAGAAGACTCAAGTGACATATTTCTATTTCCCTGTCTCCCTAAGATATGTTTGAGGTAAATAATTTTAGAAAGGTTTGTTATAAATCATGTCAATACCAAAGTACCGACTACTGAGCCGATGATAAACTCGGGGAATTGTCTAATGTATTCAGTAAACATCGAAATAAATACTCTGTAAGCTTCAATGCGATCCTTTTGATATAATAATAAAAAAGAGAATAAATGTGTATATAATATGCGTTGAATTCACAAATATACACTGACAATTTTTTAGCTATGCTGGTGCTTCATTACTGTGTGACCAAGCAGAGCATACACATGATCAGACTCCTCTTCACAGTAGGAGCAATTGAACATTGTTCCTGGTTTCCATTTCTAGAGCGATAAAATATTATTTTTTATGAAGCAAGAATCTTGCAATCTGATTGGCTAAATACCCGGGTGTAAATAACACCCACCCTAGTTCCCCAGGAGATAAAAAAATATGCCAAAATTTTCAAAAAATATTTTTTTTAAAGTGTCTGTATATCTACGTATCAAGATTCCATATGCACATTTGCGATGACATTTGCATTGGTATGTGTATAAAAATGGCTTTAATCTATATTTTGGAATAAAGCATTGTTAGGCTAAATTAAATGATTCTAAAACAAAACAATTTAGTGTTGATAGTATCTTTTTATCAAAAATACTAATTTACCTTCTATGACCTTGTATATAAGGTTCTAGAATATTTTTTCACGTTGTACCAGAAAGGAAGTCTGTTTGTTTACATGTTCGATCATATTCACTCGAAAAAATGTGATCACACTCGAAAAAACCCGATCAAATCACTCGAAAAACCACGATCTCAGCCGGACACTATACCTACCGTGGATATGTAGGGCAGCTTGCATTTTACAACCTCTCCCCGCTTCAGCTAATAATATATTATTATGGTGTTGTTCCCATAAGGTGTACAATGCGTAGTTTTCTGACGTTTCATAATAAAAAATAAAACGAAATACAATGGTTATTCTTCGCAAACCATAATATAAGTATATTTTCCTATTAAAATGTTGATCTTTTCACTTGAACCCCCTTGATAGAGCCTAAAACATTTGTTACGCAATGTAATATAAACCAAATCAATAAATTCCGACTTGTCACCGGTAAACAAGCTACCAATCATGGTTGTATTTTATTTTGTGTAAGGTAAGATTTTTCATTTAAGAGTGTTACACATACCGATATTTGCTCGCAAAAAATAAATATTTAAAACTAAATTTTGTTCAGAGTATGTGATTGTGTGTCTGTAATGTCAATGAACCAAAACAAAATTAAAAACATAAAAAACCGGGGGATTTGGGGACTGATACAAATATATCATATTAAAGCGTTGTAATCTGTTTAAAACGAAAGTATTTTTTATTAATTCAACAATTGATCATCATAGTAATAAGTATTATAAGACTTAGTCAATCTTCTTATGTTCTTTCGTGTGTTTAGGAGAAATGTATACATGTAAGTACTGTTGGTAAATACGAGGATGTGACAATGATTTAATTTTATCATTTAAGGTTCTGGATAGGGTTTACCGAATAGAGAAAAAAGGGCAAAGTATTAACTTCTTCTAGTATCCACGGTAGGTAAAGTGTCCGGCTGGGATCGTGATTTTTCGAGTGATTTGATCGGGTTTTTTTCGAGTGTGACCACTATTTTTCGAGTGAATATGATCGAACATGTAAACAAACAGACTTCCTTTCTCGTAAAACGTGAAAAAAGATGCTAGAACCTTATGAACAAGATCATAGAAGGTAAATTAGTATTTTTGATAAAAAGATATTATCAACCCTAAATTATTTTGTCTCAGTATTTTGTTCTAAAAACGTTTAATATAGCCTTACAATGTTTTATTCCAAAATATAGATTAAAGCCATTTTTATACACATACGTGTACCAATGCAAATTTCAACGGAAATGTGTACATGGAATCTATGTATACTTGGATATATAGACACTTTACAAAAATTCTTGTTTCTGCATTGAAAAGGACATTTTGGAGAGTAAATTCATTTTTATATGTCCGTGTTTTTTTCGAGAGCAGTCCGTGTTTTTTCGAGTGTGTCCTTGTTTTATCGAGTAAAAAAAAATCCTATGGCTTAAAATGTGATATGTCAGTTCATTGACGTTGAAAAAACAATGAAAAGGTTCAAAAAAAGTATTTTTCAAAGCACAAAACAATGCATTAAACCAGTTTGATAATGCTGTATCAACACGTACATTTCATAAAAAGTCATCGTTCATTTGCATTCAGAAATCTTAGTGTACCAATATGGATTTCATACAGTAAATATTTAGTGAGGTAAACAATCTTTGTGAGAGCTCAGACATGTTGGACTGGGACGTACGTACATATAGTGTGTAAAGCGGGTAAATGTGTTTTTTTACAAAAAATATATCCTTAATGTTTCAATTACTATTCGTCTTGATGGAAATATTAGCTATCTCGGTGTAATCAGGAGTGTACAGAATTTTACACTGGTGGTGAAAATATTTACACCCTGAGGCGTAGCCTTTTCAACACCGGTGTACAATTCCGTACACCCCTGACTGCACCGAGATAACGAATTTATATCTTATTTACACCCGGGTAATTAATTAATCAGATTGCAAGATTCTTGCTTCATAAGAAATAATGATTTATCGTTCTAGAAATGGAAATCAAGAACAATGTTCAATTACTCCTACTGTGAAGAGGAGTCTGATCAAGCGTATGCTATGCTTGGTCACACAGTAATAAAGCACCAGCACAGCTAAACAATTGACAATGCGAAATAGCAATTAATTGACATGATCGCATGTTTAATCACTCGAAAAAAAAGCCGATCTACACTCGAAAAAAGTGTACCGATTCACTCGAAAAAACACGATATCCGCCGGACACTATACCTACCGTGAGTATGCAATTTATTGATTTAACCGTGACCAGGAAGTTTGTACAGAATTTAAAGAGATTATGATTATAGTATTTTTGGATCCTTTTAACCTTGTTGAGATACAAAAATAGATAAAGGAGAATGTTTGTTTATTTACACGACTAGTACACTCATGTTTTACTGGCTCATGGAAAAAAAATTGGTTCGCAGACAATAACTTTAGTGTAAGTGTATGGATGTGTAAGAAATTTTAGTACAAGATTTCATACCACAAAAGGAGGATTGGGATTGATTTTGGAGTTTATTGTCTTAGCTGTTTTGTAATTTGGAGCCAGAAAGGGACCAAAAACAATTATTTGTCTGGTTCACAGACAATAACTTGAGTATAAGAGATATTTCTTTTCTCACAAGGTTCCACAACACAATAGGAAGGTTTGGATTAATTTTGGTGGTTATTGTCATAGTTTTTAAGAAATTAGGGGCCAAAAAAAGTCTAAAAACAAGCATTTTTCATGTTTCAGGACAATAATTGGTGTATAAGAGTATAGATTTCTATGAAATTTTACCACAAGGTTCCATACTTTAAAAGGAAAGTTTTGAATGATTTTTGGAGGGTCATGGTTCATACCGTTTAATAATTAGGGGTCGAAGAGGGGCTGAAAACAACTATTTTTCTGGTTTGCAGTTAATAACTTGATTATAAGTGTATGGATCTCTATTCAATTTTAACACAAGGTTCCATACCACAATAGGAAGGTTGGGGTTTATTTTAGGGGTTATTATAGTAGCTGTGTAGGAATAAGGGGCCAAAAAGGGCCTAACAAAAACAATCATTTGTCTTGTTAACAGACAGTAACTTTTCTGAAAGAGTATAACTGTATAAATCTGTATTGAATTTAAGCACAAGGTTCCATTCGACAATAGGAAGGTTGGGATTTATTTTGGGGGTTATTGTTGTAGCTGCTTAGTAATTAAGGACCAAAAAGGGGGTCAAAAACAAGCATTCTTCATATTTCAGGACACTAATTTGTGTATTAGAGTATGGATTTCTATGAAATTTTACTACAAGGTTCCATACTTCAAAAGGAAAGTTTGAATTGATGTCAGGGGTCATGGTCCAAACTGTTTAATAATAAAAGGGCTGAAAAGGGACCAAAAGACTTGGATATTCTGATTTCTGGACAATAACTTGAGTATAAGTCTATTTTTTACTATTTGATTGTGCCACAAGGGTTATAGCATAGAATAAAGTTTGGGAATGATTTTAGGGGTTATGACCCTATTGGTTTAGTTAAAAGGTGCCAAATCCAATGCTTTGTAGAAATTGCTTATTTTTTTTAGCAATTTCAATGGGGTTTATTTAAAAAGTCTTGAATTCTTGGGAGTCTTTAATATGCTGAATCTAATTGGGTACTGTAAATTAAGAAATTATTGTGTGCATTTATTATTGCAATTTTTGAAAAAATTAACAAAAATGTGAGTTTAATTATTGCGATTTTAAGAAAAACAACAAATTATAGATAATATATGTATTTGATATCAGAATGCGAGTTTTTATTATTGCGATACTCAAGTAGTCGCATTATTCGCATTAATAAAAACCTTGCAATAATTTCTGAATTTACAGTATCTAGAATTTGGATTTAAGGGTCTGTTTTTGAAATGATCCATATTAAGGTCCAAAGGGTCCAAAATTAAACTTTGTTTGATTTCTTTAAAAATTGAATTATTGGTGTTCCTTGATATGCTGAATCTAATTGTGTATTTAGATTTTTTAATTGTGATGTCAGTCTTCAAATTGTCAACATTAAGGTCCAAAGGGTCCAAAATGCAACTTTTTTTTATTAAAAAAAATTTGAATTCTTGGAGTTCTTTAATATGCTGATTCTAAGCGTGTATTTAGATTTTTGATTTTGGGCATGGTCGGTCGAGGTTAAGGTCAAAAGGGTCCAAATTTAAACTTTGTTTGATTTAAAAAAAAAAAACAAGAATGGTTGGGGTTCTTTGATATGCTGAATCCAAGCGTGAATTTAGATTTTTGATTTTGGGCACAGTATTCAAGATGGTCCAAATTGGGGTCCAAAATTGAACATTGTTTGATTTAATCAAAAAAAAAAAATGTTTTGTGTTATTTGATATGGTCAATCCAACAGTATTTTAGATTTTTTTATTTTGTGCTTGGTTTTCAAAGTTGGTCCAAATTTGGGTCCAAAATTAAACTGTGTTTGATTTCAACATAACTTGAATATATACAGCATGTGTACAGGGTTCTTTGAAATGCTGAATCTAAACCTGTATTTAAATTTTGGTATTTTTGAGCCCAGTTTTCAAGCTGGTCCAAATCAGGGTCCAAAATTAAACTTTGTTTGCTTTCAACAAAAATTGAATTTATGGGTTCTTTGACATGCTGAATCCAACCATGTATTTAGATTTTGGATTTTGGGCTCCGTTATCAAATTGGTCCACATTGAGGTTCAAAGAATCCTAAATTAAACTTTTGTTTGATTTTATCAAAAATTGATTTCTTGGGGTTCTTTGATATATGCTGATTCTAAACATGTACTTAAATTTTGGATATTGGACCATAATAGGTAAATGTCCAATTTCAAATTTTCAGTTCTTTGACCACATTAATTTTGTGTCACAAACCTATGCTGTGTCAAATATAGAATCACAATCCAAAATAAGCTGTTTAAAGCTTAAATGCTGTGTCCATACTTGCCCCAACTGTTAAGGGTTCGATCTCTGTGGTCGTATTAAGATGCGCACAGCGGAGCATTGAAAATTTTTATCTAAATTGCAGATATTTATTTCATATCACGAAATCAATAGGAGGGACAATTTACCGTGTCATCTTGAATTACAGTAATATAAGTTTAAAAGGTTTTATGTCACGTTTTGTTAGGAAATAAAATCTAGATTACCTTACATTATTAGCACTAGCAAATACAATATTTATCATATTTGCTATGGAGTAAGGACGTGATGATCAATACAGTGTTTTTAACTTGTTTAAATGTCTAGTCTCTTGTATATCATATGACAATAATGACGATGATTATCATCGTTTTTCACACCAAAATGGTTGACATGGGTAGATACATGTACATTTGTTAGACAGGTCATGCATTATCTACTCCCATCCGATAATGATATCAATCCGTTTGGCTGTGCTAGACGTATGAGGGGAAAAGGAACATGGGAGTGAGTGGGGGAAGCGACAGTCCGGGGGACCGCGGGGGAATCAGGAATTAGGAGCAGAAACAGGGGATGAGGGGGAGTTAAAATAGGGATATTCTGGGGAAATGTTTTTGACTTATTTTCGTCTGGGAGGAAGGAAGAGGGAAATGGGAGTAGGGAGGGTTGCATTGGGAGTAGTGGTGGAGGGAAATGGTAGTTTTGGGGTAGGGAAGTGGAATCAGTGACCCCCTATTAACACCCTCAGTATATAAATGAGTAACCACGTTTGAACAGAATGCCTCGTGTAGTGCTCCACGTTTTCTGCTTTCGATGTTTTCAGGTGACCTGTTGCAGGCAAAGTATCTGCCTCAATTGCATTTAACCTCTTCTCCAGTAAAAATTGAATGGTCTTCGTCAAGGTCAATTGACAGTCCAAATTTTACTGCATTACTCCCCCCGGCTGACCACCACCTTGCAGGTCCTACCTATTGTATTAACGGGTAATTTGTTCTCCTACTGAACATTCATGAAATATTTTCACTTGACTTAAAGTAAACAACAATCAATCAATCATAACTATACGGTATTAAAGTACATTATAACAAGTAAATTTCACAAATGCATTAAAGATTACTAGCATAAAAAATTAAAAGGGAATAATATAAAAATCTTGTTAATTCTATTTTACCGATTTGTCCACATTGAATACTAGTCGTGAGATGTTTGATTGATTTGGGATTTCCATGACAGTTATTGCATGCAAAAAATTAAAGGAGATGCTAACTTTGTCGATGCACCCAAGACTTGATCCGTCAACATGACCGCTGTTGCTCAAAATAGAACATAAGCGTAAATTGCAGTGTTTTACTTATATCTTAAAAACTAAAACACTGATATTTATTCCATATAGGAGTTATTTCCACTAAAAAAAACGATATTGACCAATGTGTTGAGTCTCTGTCTTTCTCTGTAATGTAATACCCAAATTAGCTGACAATATGTTTCTTTTATTTTCAGCATTCAGAATGGATTTACAACGCTTCAAATTTGACATACATGTCTACAGTTTTTTCTTGGTGTGTAGATTTTTTGTATTATAGAAGAACAATTATTTATTAAACAGAAGTGCTTTCAATAAGTGGTCAACGTTGCAATGTGTATATTTAAGTTTGACAGACGTGCCACTGACCATGTCCTCTTTTTTATGATTCGCTGTGAACTATATCAAAAGTGGGTAGTTTGAGTTAAATTCGATGGGCATACATTTGACAACTGATGATCTTCGAACGATTTTTCTTATAATTTGATCGTTTATATTTATCAAGAAAACAAACAAGGTAGAGAAACTAGCTAACTTTACGAGATGAACAAACACATTGATATCTATAATAAATTACAATATCAATAATACTGTTTTTAATTTGTTCTGTTACAGGCACTTTTCTGATTAAGAATTTATCGCGAACGTACCAACTTAAAAAATGAAATCTTCATATTTCAGAAGTCTTTAATTTTATAACTGGGTTGCTTAGTTAAGTCTAATTAGAGAGGCGCTAATATCATTTCGTAAGTAAGTTAATTGTTCAAAAATTATAAGTAAAATAAAATTTTATCCTGGTTCTAAAAAAAATATTGTCTTGTCTTGAATACACTTAAATGCACTCAACAAAAATAGATACATGTATTTGAAGATAGGTAATGTGTTACTGCAAAAAACGATGCACGGGAACATCGAAATATCACCTTTTTGCTACATGAAAAAGTTTCAAGGATTTCAAATGTATTTGAAATTGGAATAAATCGTAAATGTATTTTTTTCCATCTTTAAACATATGTAAAATGGATGTAAATAAAACACACCAGAATGTGTACTCGTCTTTGTACACAATATATGCCAACTTATACATAAGTGTAAACATATTGTATTAAAGATTTTGTTATGCGTATAGCTACACGAGTAGATAAATGCTAAATATACGAGTAATTAAAAAATTGGAAAACAAAAGCTACAACTACATTTATTTTAATACATTATTTTTCAGGTTATATCCTTATTAAAGATATCTGATGCGGTTTTTAGATTTCATTGTCCTGTTCAGGCACACTGGAAACATAGAGCAGAAACATTTTGTGATGTTGGCAAGAGTTACTTTTGCTTGTATGACATAAATGAAAAGAATTCTACTGAATTTTGTAGAGATACAGAAGATTTTGATGCACCAGGTAATACAGTCTCTCATCTTCTAAATATGCACAATTTCCAATACCATGTATGTAATATATTACTCTAAATATTGACAACATGAATTCTTCTTCTTCTTCTTTTTTGTATTATCAGTGGCTTTGATTACTGCTATTAGTTTTAAGGCTTCACTGGGCTAGTGTGGTAACGTACTCTCCAAACGCGCTGGAGGTCAAGGGTTCGATCCTCTGTCGGGTAAAACCAAAGACTTGGTAAAATTAGTATTGCTGTTTTTTTTCAGCTTAGGACATAACATTTAGAATTAAGAGCAAAAGACTTAACCGACTCGGAATCAAAACAATTTTTTGTCTGTATTTGTGTTTTACAGAAACAAGTATTACAGAGATAAAAGGTAAATGACAATTCTAGTGATCAGCAAAGGAGATCTTAAAAGAAGTCAATGAATTGACTTGTAAGATGACTTTGCCAGAAGTTACTGCACAGGCACATGTCATTTGAAAAAAATGACCCATATACTTTAATATAACACAAGATACTTGTACCTAATCGTATATTTGAGAAATGTCAATCGATCACGAACTTCTGTAATATTTCGATTTTGCGGTTCTCTGTCCAACTGAAACTTGTAATCTCGTAAATCTGCATTAAATTTTCTACAAAATGGTATATTACAAGCCTATTTCTATTTTCGGAATCATTCGTAATAGGTCTTCCAAGTCTGCCAACCATAAGTATTTCGTCTTCTAACAACCCAATATGGCAATGTTAATCTAACATTGAATGATTAATTATAAATATCAGTTTGGTATCTTTCTGTTTATTTACGTATGACGCAGTTTTTTTTACCTAGGTTTTTGACCAATCCACTAAATGAGTAACAATGCATGATGGACTACTACGTGTTTACGATCAACCGAGAACAAGTTCTATATACTGAAATACAATACATTTTTTCATGCATTGCTGGATAAACATTTTGTTTTGTTTTTCATTTTTTGTATCCACATTTATAGTCCGTGATATAAAGTATTCGTTCCATGCTCAGATTAACGAAGAGTTGTTTCTATGCGAAGAAACGAGTGTTTGGATTACCCGAAATATAGCCATTAAATATGATTGAGGATTACACGAAGATTCCAGATATTCGTCCACAAAACAGCAACGAAACAACAGTGTTATGATATTTTACCTTCTTTTATGATTAAAAAGTCATTTAAATCGAGGAAGGGTATGTGTTTATTAATTTGTCTTAAAGAAACAAACACGTGTATTCATCAATCGGGGCCATTTATTTAGTATACCCGACTATACGGTATGGGTTTTTCTCATTGTTGATGGCCAGATGGTTGCCTATAATTGCTTACATCCACTTTATTTGAACTTTGGTGGATAGTTGTCTCATTGGCAATCATACCACATCTCTTTATTTTTATATACAAACACTTTTCAGAAAGATTGGTTTTCCATTATCTTGAATAGAGATATTACTATAGAATACTGTGAAATATTTTTATATTTAGATCCGAACATGTATTAAATCTATATCATCTTATCATATTTCATAAAAACTGCCCAAGACATTTCTTAATTCTTGTCTGACAATGTTAAAAAAATCTATAAGTATTGTTTGTCATATTTCAGTTTTTTGGACTTTTTTTTCTATTTCAACTGCTCCCTTTGTTCTGAAGGTAATGAAGCAATATTTTCCTGAATCATTGCAAGCAGCTGTAGTTTCGTTTTGTTTTCGTATTTGCAAAGTTTGTTTTCTTTTGTATTTTTTTATATTCTTAATGGACTCGGATATTTGCCAATCTTAATACTACATGTAGTAAAATCATTTATGATGCTATCTATGTTTACGTGCGACAAGGACGTGAACTTTGATATATGTATTGTGAAAATTGCAGCGTTGGGTCTAAACCTTTTATATTTCATTTATTGAATACAAAATATGTATTTAAATTGATAACAAATGAAAATCCATAATGGCCCTGTTCGTTCAGAAGTGACTGGCTCATTCATAATGGCTAGGTGTAAGTCTGTAATAGCCTGGTGTGGCTTTTACTGATAAAGGTGCAGTTTTACTTATAATACACCTTATTATATATTGGTTAATAATGCTAAATAATATAAGTCAAACCATCACATACTAAACACTATTACAACGACAAATACACTTTCTCTTCTCGTTTTGTATATAAATTAGGCCGTTGTTTTTTTAGTTTGAATTGTTCTACACTAGTCATTTTTTGGTTCCTTCATAGCTTATTTTTCAGCGTTGAAGGTCGTCCTGTAACCTATGATTGCTTACTTTACTAGATAGTGTCTTCGATGGAGAGATGTCTCATTTGGTACTTATACCTCATCTCCTTATTTCTACATACAAAGCACGTTTTAAAAAAACTAAACGGGTACCATGGCACCCACTATGATCCGGAAGATTTAAACGATTGAAGATATTGCACATATTAAGTCAATAGGACAGCAGCCGAACGATAAAAATACCTCTTAGGTATATTTTGGGATAGCATTGGCAACAGACGGACTTTATCGATGGACAAAAGTAGAAAAAAAAGCAGCAATGTTTTTGAAATGGCATTATACAGGATACGAAAAATCAAATAGCACATATATAGATAGACGTTGTAACCCATTCCATCAAACCGTTTTGACAGGTTTAAAAGAGCTCAAATGAATTTTATACCGGACAGAAGTCACTTCATTGGAAATTTCACTGTTTCACATGAAATTAATGCACAGGTACGATGCATAACAATGGACAAAACCGATTCAACTACTTTTACAAGGTGAAAAAGAAAGTCGAATCGTGAAGCCAGTAAACAAATATTTTTTTAATCTGAGCATGCAAATTGAAGATTATGTTATATATTTTACATTAAACACATTCGCTGAACAAACACATTTATTATTTGAGTCCCAGACACTATATTAGTTAATAGTTTTCACACTAATTCCACGTGTTTTTAAGTGGTAGTAAACTCGTAGTAGCCCAAAAGGCATTGTAGTTCATTGAGTCGATTGGTCAGTTTTAAAAGGCCATGTTTTAATTACCTTCTATTTGGTAAATTACTATATATGCAAATATTATATTCTGACGTCAGGAAATCTAGAGTTCCCAATCTGTTAAACATACCTCAAATAACACTTATTTTTTTTTCACGGTATCTTTAACAAATTCACTATCTGGATGAACATTTCTATTTAGAGAAAAGGTTTTTGGGAAATACTTTTTATGATTAATCATTCACTGCGAGATTAACATTGCCATTGTGCTGTGAGAAGACGAAATGATTACGGTCGACATACGTGGAAGGCCTGTTCTGAATGATCCTAATAAAAATAGGCGTGCAATACTCCATAATACAGGTAATATTTTTCAGAGATAAGAGCCAGGCGAGTTACGGTCCTTGCATTTATTTATTAACCATTTGGGAGGGGGGTTGCAGACAAATATTGTAAATATAGTAAATAGTGAGAAACTGTAAACAGAAGATAAATAATCAACTAAGATATACAAATTATTCACCATGGCCAACATTGTTAGTCGATTCTGATTATATTTTTTTTGTCCTCAAATGACGATTAATATCCATTTTTGTGTTCTGAACAACTATTCGCTCTTATTATAATACAGATCATGTGTTTACGCTCCGCTTACAAGGATCTTGAAAAAAACGCCACATTCTTCTTTCTGTTTTTCGGGATCCTCAGGTTTTGTCATTATGTTACATACCTTCAAAAATATGGAAGCAGAAATTTCATTGGCTGATATGAATCTGATCAGAACAGAAAGTAAGACATAGTTCTGTCAAATCCTTGTAAGCTTGGGGAAGTGTTGAGACAGGCTCTGTATTTAACTCAGATCGAGAGAGATTGTAAACAACAAAAATTATCATTAATTCATGTAAAAAATCTACGAAGAGTCAAAATGACAGAAATTGTCAGACAACACCTTATATTAGGTTTTGCCTTTGAACGATGATTTGCTCGGAAATAAGGCATATAGTGACGTTGCGCACGATGTTGGTACTACTTAGCGTTACACGTTCCTCATAATGAAGCGATTTCGACGATTTCAAAGAACGTTTCAAGCGTTCAAGCTAATAATTGATGAGGTCAATTTTCTGTTGTGAATTTGGTAACCGATTTCGGTTTGTCTGAAAATGCATAGTTTAATATATAAAACTCAAAGTGGTCGTACATATATTTTTTTTAATGCATATTCATTTAAAGGAGTTGTCAGTCTTTCCAGGCCATAATTGATAATTTTACTTTTGGCAGCAGTTCGCATTAATGAATCATACATTAATTTTCAAATTTATACAGATTTCTTTTTAATATAAATTAGATTTTGAATTTATTTTCCCTTTTTATTGCATGTTTATACATACTCCTTTTGTTGCATTTCCTTCCGTTTCCGTTTCCTTTCTATATTTTATCATTTCCCGATGCTTTCTTTGTCGAAAAATTTCTAGGAAGTTAATCATTTTGGATTCATGTTTTTCTCATTTCCGTATTTTTGTGGCATTATGCATACATGTATCCTTTTATTTTGTTATAATTGCCAGCAATGGTTTTGTCTATTTTATTTTATTAACAAACAAAAATATGCATGTTGCTTTTGATGATTTAAAACTTGCAGATAGACAACGTTTCTTGAATAAAACAAATGTCATGAATGTGCTGAAAAAAAACTGAGATCCCGATATTTTTTATATCAATCTCATTTGGTCAACATTTGAAATTAAACTTAAACTTTTCCTTTATCATACATTGGTTATATTATAACTTTTATTTGTATTTTCAATCGAACTAAACTGGAAACAAATAATTATGATATAAAATTAAAAACCCGAGCATGACACCAATTACGTTTTGCGAAAGTTGGGACAAAACGGCTATACTTTTTGAAACGATCTAAAAATATTGTTGCCTATCGAAAAAATGTTAAACACTATATAGTTTAAAAAGAAAAAGAAAAAACTTTTACCGCCAAGTT